TTCAATTTCAGGCTTTGTGATTGGTCTGTTCATATTTTCTATTTCTTCCTGATTCAGTCTAGGCAGGTTGTGCATTTCTAAGAATGTGTCCATTTCTTCCAGGTTGTCCATTTTATTGGCATATAGTTGCTTGTAGTAGTCTTTCATGATCTTTTGTATTTCTGCACTGTCAGTTGTTACTTCTCCTTTTTCATTTCTAATTCTATTGATTTGAGTCTTCTCCCTTTTTTTCTTGATGAGTCTGGCTAATGGTTTATCAATTTTGTTTATCTTCTCAAAGAACCAGGTTTTAGTTTTACTGATCTTTGCTATTGTTTTCCTCATTTCTTCTTCATTTGTCTTGGATCTGGTCTTTATGATGTCTTTCCTTCTGCTAACTTTGGGTGTTTTTTTGTGTTCTTTCTCTATTTGCTTTAGGTGTAAGGTAAGGTTAGGTTGTTTTTGTGAGATGTTTCTTGTTTCTTAAGATAAGATTGTATTGCTATATACTTCCATCTTAGAACTGCTTTTGCTGCATCCCATAGGTTCTGGGTTGTTGTGTTTTCATTGTCATTTGTTTTTAGGTATTTTTTGATTTCCTCTTTGATTTCTTCAGTAATCTCTTGGTTATTAAGTAGTGTATTGTTCAGACTTTATTTGTTTGTATTTTTAACAGATTTTCCCCTGTAACTGATATCTAGTCTCATAGCATTGTGGTTGGAAAAGATATTTGATACGATTTCAATTTTCTTAAATTTACCAAGGTTTGATTTGTGACCCAAGATATGATCTAACCTGGAGAATGTTCCATGAGTACTTGAGAAGAAAGTGTGTTGTGTTGTTTTTGTATTGAATGTCCTATAAGTATCAATTAAGTCCATCTTGTTTAATGTATCATTTAAAGCTTGTTTTTCCTTATTTCATTTTGGATGATCTGTCCATTGGTGAAAGTTGGGTGTTATAGTCCCCTGCTATGATTGTGTTACTGTCAGTTTCCCCTTTTATGGCTGTTAGCATTTGCCTTATGTATTGAGGTGCTCCTTTGTTGGGTGCAGAATTATTTACAATTGTTATATCTTCTTCTTGGATTGATCCCTTGATCATTATGTAGTGTCTTTCTTTGTCTCTTGCAATAGTCTTTATTTTAAAGTCTGTTTTGTCTGATATGAGAATTGCTACTCCAGCTTTCTTCTGATTTCCATTTGTGTGGAATATCTTATTCCATCCCCTCACTTTCAGTCTGTATGTGTCCCTAGGTCTGAAGTGGGTCTTTTATAGACAGCATATATACGAGTCTTATTTTTGTAACCATTCAGCCAGTCTATGTGTTTTGGTTGGAACATTTAATCCATTTACATTTAAGGCAATTACCGATATGTATGTTCCTATTACCATTTTCTTAATTCTTTTGGGTTTGTTATTGTAGGTCTTTTCCTTCTCTTGTGTTTCCTGCCTGGAGAAGTTCCTTTAGCATTTGTTGTAAAGCTGGTTTGGTGGTGCTGAATTCTCTCAGCTTTTGCTTGTCTGTAAAGGTTTTAATTTCTCCGTTGAATCTGAATGAGATCTTTGCTGGGTAGAGTAATCTTGGCTTTCGGTTTTTCCCTTTCATCACTTTAAATATGTCCTGCCAGTCCCTTCTGGTTTGCAGAGTTTCTGCTGAAAGATCAGCTGTTAACCTTATGGGGATTCCCTTATATGTTATTTGTTGTTTTTCCCTTGCTGCTTTTAATATTTTTTCTTTGTATTTAATTTTTGATAGTTTGATTAATATGTGTCTTTGCATGTTTTTCCTTGGATTTATCCTGTACGGGACTCTCTGTGCTTTCTGGACTTGATTGACTATTTCCTTTCCCACAGTAGGGAACTGTTTAACTATAATCTCTTCAAATATTTTCTCAGTCCCTTTCTTTTTCTTTTCTTCTTCTGAGATCCCTATAATTCGAATGTTGGTGCATTTAATGTTGTCCCAGAGGTCTCTGAGACTGTTCTCAATTCTTTTCATTCTTTTTTCTTTATTCTGCTGTGCAGTAGTTATTTCCACTATTTTATCTTCCAGGTCACTTATCCGTTCTTCTGCCTCAGTTATTTTGCTCTTAATCCCTTCTAGAGAATTTTTAATTTCATTTATTGTGTTGTTCATCATTGTTTGTTTTCTCTTTAGTTCTTCTAGGTCCTTGTTAAACGTTTCTTGTATTTTCTCCAGTCTGTTTCCAAGATTTTGGATCATCTTTACTATCAGTATTCTGAATTCTTTTTCAGGTAGACTGCCTATTTCTTCTTCATTTGTTTAGTCTGGTGGGTTTTTACCTTGCTGCTTCATCTGCTGTATGTTTCTCTGTCTTCTCATTTTGCTTAACTTTATGTGTTTAGGGTCTCCTTTTCACAGGCTGCAGGTTTGTAGTTCCCATTGTTTTTGGTGTCTGCCCCCAGTGGCTAAGGTTGGTTCAGTGGGTTGTGTAGGCTTCCTGGTGGAGGGGACTAGTGCCTGTGTTCTGGTGGATGAGGCTGGATCTTGTCTCTCTGGTGGGCAGGTCCACGTCCAGTGGTGTGTTTTTGGGTGTCTGTGACCTTATTATGATATTAGGCAGCCTCTCTGCTAATGGGTGGGCTTGTGTTCCTGTCTTGCTAGTCGTTTGGCATAGTGTGTCCAGCACTGTAGCTTGCTGGTCGTTGAGTGGAGCTGGGTCTTGGCGTTGAGTTGGAGATCTCTTGGAGATTTTCGCCATTTGATATTACATGGAGATGGGAGGTCTCTGTTGGACCAATGTCCTGAAGTTGGCTCTCCCACCTCAGAGGCACAGGCCTGGCACCGGGCTGGAGTACCAAAACCCTGTCATCAACACAACTCAGAATGAAAGGGAGAGAAAAAGAAAGAAAGAAAGAAAAAATAAAATAAAGTTATTAACATTAAAAAAAAAACTAATAAAAAAAAGGAAAGAGAGAAGAGAGAAACCAAACCAAAAAACAAATCCACCAATGATAACAAGCGGTAAAAGCTATACTAAAAAAAGCAAACAAAGAAAAAAACGGACAGACAGAACCCTAGGACAAGTGGTAAAAACAAAGCTATACAGACAAAATCACACACAGAAGCATACACATACACACAAAAAGAGAAAAAGGAAAAAGATGCATATATCTTTGCTCCCAAAGTCCATCTCCTCAATTTGGGATGATTCGTTGTCTATTCATGTATTCCACAGATGCAGGGTACATCAAGTTTATTGTGGATATTTAATCCACTGCTTCTGAGGCTGCTGGGAGAGATTTCCCTTTCTCTTCTTTGCTCGCACAGCTCCTGGGGTTCAGCTTTGTATTTGGACCCGCCTCTGCGAGTAGGTTGCCTGAGGACGTCTGTTCTTTTCTCAGACAGGACGGGGTTAAAGGAGCAGCTGATTCGGGGGCTCTGGCTCACTCAGGCCTGGGGGAGGGAGGGGTACGGATGTGGGGGGAGTCTGCGGCGGCAAAAGCCGGCGTGACGTTGCACCAGCTTGAGGCGTGCCATGTGTTCTCCCAGGGAAGTTGTCCCTGGATCCTGGGACGCTGGCAGTGGCGGGCTGCACAGGCTCTCGGGAGGGGAGGTGTGGATAGTGACCTGTGCTCGCACACAGGCTTCTTGGTGGCAGCAGCAGCCTTAGCGTCTCATGCCCATCTCTGGGGTCCGCGGTGAAAGCCGTGGCTCGTGCCCGTCTCTGGAGCTACTTTAAGCGGCGCTCTTAATCCCCTCTCCTCACGCACCAGGAAACAAAGAAGGAAGAAAACTTTCTTGCCTCTTCGGCAGGTCCAGACTTTTCCCTGGACTCCCTCCCAGCTAGTTGTGGCACACTAGCCCCCTTCAGGCTGTGTTCATGCCACCAGTCCTCTCCCTGAGATCCGACTGAAACCCGAGCCTCAGCTCCCAGCCCCCACCCGTCCCGGTGGGGGACCAGACAAGCCTCTCGGGCGGGTGAGTGCCGGTCGGCACAGATCCTCTGTGCGGGAATCTCCCCGCTTTGCCCTCCGCACCCCTGCTGCTGCGCTCTCCTCCGCGGCTCCAAAGCTTCCCCCTCCGCCACCCGCAGTCTCCACCCGCGAAGGGGCTTCCTAGTGTGTGGAAACCTTTCCTCCTTCACAGCTCCTTCCCAGAGGTACAGGTCCCGTCCCTATTCTGTTGTCTCTGTTTATTCTTTTTTCTTTTGCCCTACCCAGGTACGTGGGGAGTTTCTTGCCTTTTCGGAGGTCTGAGGTCTTCTGCCAGCGTTCAGTAGGTGTTGTGTAGGAGCTGTTCCACATGTAGATGTATTGGTGATGTATCTATGGGAAGGAAGGTGATCCCCATGATGTACTCTTCCGCCATCTTGAAGCTCCTGAAATTCACTTTTTAAAAAAGCAATCCATGTGACACATACTACTGTGTTGAGTATAAAAATAATAAAGATGATGATTTCTTACTTGTGTGCAACAGAATTTGATAGAAACATTTAGGACACACAACATTGCCATTTTTAACACTATTTTTGCAGCAACATTTGCATCTATAAGATAAAATGTAACAGTGGTAGTTACTGAATTCTTAGTTATATCCAGAGTTTTGGTTTAAAAAGCACTCTGGAGTTTACTGTAAAGTCAAGAGTACTTCTCAATATTCTGTGCAACTGTATGTGCTTTTTGTGTGTGTACTGGTGGCTAAATTCATAATGATACAAAGATGGGAAAGAAGTGACAGGCATCCAGGGCAACCAAACTGTGTTATGGGTATATCATATTAATGATACACAGCAAATGCCAGAGGAAAATCTGGACTTGCAAAATAAACCTATTAACAGTTGATTAGTTAATTTCTGAAAGGTTCATTGTTGGGTACTCTTAAATTGTAGGCCCTGGAAAGTATTGAGATGTTTACCACTTTTACTGCTAAAAGCAAGGTACATGCATCTCTGCTAGTCTGAGCTGAGCTGTGTAGTATTATGAACAAGTTCTAAGTCCGCCTCACAAGTAGGTTTCTTTCTTTCCTTTTTTTTTTTCTTTTTTCCTCCCACAAGGAGTTTCTAAACAGATGCATTGAATGCTAACAGTTTATCCACATCTCTACCAAATTTGCCTGAACAACTTGGCGTTCAACAGTGGTTGTAAAGTTGCCGCTGCTACTAATCACTTATGTTGATGTACCTGAGAAGAAGGCATTTTGAAAATAAGGTAATACAGTGGGCCTGGGAGGGCAAAGCTCAGTGTCTCCTGTCTAAGAATAATTTCTTGTATCTTGATTTTTCTTAAGCCATTTATTGTTACTCAGAGGTAGAAGCACAAAGAGTGGAGTTTGTGGCATGAGGTTCATCTGTATGTGAACATTGTTCAAAACCACTTCTGACCTGGGCAAGGCTGAATTTTGAATTTTTGCTACCCTAGTTAAGAAAAGATTCAAATGACCCACATGAAGTTAACAATAGAGTTTAAAAAAAACAAAAAATACTTATTCTCCTAGTGAACGCTTTTATATTATTTTAAAGGAAATGGATTAGCAAAACTATTTCTTCCTTTTCTTCCACTGACCCAAGTATAATTATTGATTTTATTGTTAACCTTTTACTTCTCTTTCTCTTTGATCTTTAAACAATTATATTGAGAGCTGATGGAATGTGCTCTATTAAGAGTTCAAAAGAGATTTGCTTAAAATTAAAAACTTTTATGCTTCAAAGACACTATCAGGGGCTTCCCTGGTGGTGCAGTGGTTAAGAATCACCTGCTAATGCAGGGGACACGGGTTCAAGCCCTGGTCTGGGAAGATCCCACATGCCACGGAGCAGCTAAACCTGTGCATCACAACTGCTGAGTGTGTGCTCTAGAGCCCGTGAGCCACAACTACTGAGGCCTAGTGCCACAAGTACTAAAGCCCACGTGCCTAGAGCCCATGCTCTGCAACAAAAGAAGCCACCCAATGAGAAGCCCGTGCACCGCAACAAAGAGTAGCCCCCGCTCGCCACAACTAGAGAAAAGCCCACGCAGCAACAAAGACCCAATGCAGCCAAAAATAAAAATAAATAAATATATTTTTTTAAATTAAAAAAAGAAAAGACACTATCAGGGAAGTGAAAAGTCAACCCACAGACTGGGAGAAAATATTTGTGTATCATATAGCCAATAAGGGACTTGTATCCAGAATATATTAAGAAGTTATACAAGTCAATAACTAGAAAACAACTCAATTTTTAAAAATGGGTAAAGGATTTGAGACATTTCTCCAAAGAAATATACAAATAGCTGATATGCACACAAAAAGATTGTCATCATCATTATCATTGTCATCGGGGAAATACAAGTCAAAACTACAATGAGATCCATTTTTCACCCACTGGAACCGCTATAGTAAAAAAAGACGGTCAGTAGCAGGTGTTGGCAAGAATGTGGTGAAGCTGGAAGTCATACATTGCTAATGGAAAATGGAAAATAATGCAGCCATTTTGTAAAACAGTTTCTTAAATTAATCATAGATTTACCATATGACTCAGCAATTCTACTTCTACATATCTACCCACAAAATTTGAAAACATATATCCATACACAGACTTGTATACAAATGTTTGTAAGCAGCATCAATAAAAATATCTAAAAAGTCTGAACAAACAATCATTGGATGAGATGATAGACACAATATAGTGCATCTGTGCAATAGAACACTATTCATCAATAAAAAGGGACAACATGCTACAGCATGGGTGAACCTCCAAATCTCAGAAACATCTCAGTGGAAAAGCTTAACATAAAAGAACACATATTATTCCATTTAAATGAAATGTTCAAAAAAGGCAAACATATAGAGACAGAAAGTAGAAAACTGGTTGCATAGGGCTGGGAGTGGGAATGAGAGTGGTTGTAAATAGGTACATTTCTCTCAGCATTATGGAATTATTCTAAAATTAGATGGTAGTGACAGGTGTACAACTATAAATACACTAAAATGCATTGAATTGAACATTGAAATGTGTGAATTTTATGGTTGATAAATTATATCTCAATAAAACTGGTGGAAAAAAGTTTTCTTATGAGTTCTGACTCAGATCTTGAGGGAAACTACTACTTACCAGATGGTATTCTTAATTTTGGTGAGCCTCACTTTATTATACAGGTTTATTATGTTCCAGACTTAGTGTATTCAGAAAAATGCAAGTTTGGTATTTATTTAATGGAAGTTTTCTGAGCATTTTGGTTTTGAGGAACAGGAGCAGAATTGGGATGTTCACATGCTCTTATATGTGCATTATTATTTGATTGTGATTAACAGGATCCGGGAGGTTGCCCAAGATAATCAGCTAATCCAACTTTGAAACTCCAGTTTCTTCCAGGGGTTCTCTAATGAGTTCCAAGGAGTAAGATGTGCTGAACTTAACTCCTAACAAAAATAATCCTTTATTGTTGACAACAAGAATAGATTGTCTTAAATCCGAAGAGGTATTAAATAATTTTTAAATCTGACAAGAGGACTCCAGTTTTAAGAGCTGTTAATACCTTCTTCCTATAGACCTTAAATCCGGTGAAAAACTTATAAAATGCTCCCTCCGCAAAAGTAAAGAAAAAGGTCCTTGTTTCTGTATCATTTCCCAGAGAACAAAGACTGTGGTAGTACAAAAGCTACATGTGCCTTCAGATGCCTTAGTATCAGCTTTGTACCCCATACCTGTCTCCCCTCCCCCCACCGGTGGGATAATTAAAGAAATGGAAAATATGTTCTAACAAGTTTCAGGTCTCTGTCCAAACTTATTTATTGAGTGTAGAAATCCAAGTTCCAACATGATTGTTATTTTGAGTGAAAAGTTCTCTCTGAAAATGTAAAATAGGCACATTAAGAAGCCAAATGTACATTAGTTACCTGCTCCCATCCCCCACCCCCACCCTTTTTTTTTAAAGGATATATTCTGCATGATGGAGCCTAAAAGGTGGCAGCTGTGCCAAAGTAGTGGACCCTAAATCACTGATCAAAAATGAGAGAGAGGGGAGGCTCTGATTGCTCACAGTACAGGAGTGAATACGCGCTCTCAACCACAAATCAAGCAAGCTGAGAAAAAAAAAAAAAGGCCCAATCAAGGCAGTAATGGCCTCCACTTCACAATCAGACAAGTGCTTCTTACTTGAAAAATCCTACCATTTATAGCTGATTGCTAACCCTGGCCTCATTTCTAATCTAAAGGGCGAGTAATAATTTGGAAAAGGAACTATAACAACTTCCCAACAATTTAGCAAATTGTTATTATTTCAGGGGGAGGGGAGGAGGGTGGAAAGGAGTTGCTTTTGTAACATGTTTTTCTTGTGGGCTACCATTTACGTGACATCAAATCCCATTGTTGCCATGCTAGAATAGCAACTAATATATATTGGAAATATTTTTTTAATGGCGATATCTTATGCCATGTCACGTATTTCAATACAGTCCAAGTTATGGGTCTCCAAAGAAAAAGGCAGGAAGAGGAGCTGTCAATTCTTTTGTACACATTTACCTACATTATTCTCAGATAAGTCTGAGTGAATGTCCTTGAGTATCTCTGTTTTGGAAAGGATTTTGACCTTTTGAAGAATTTGACTTCATAAAAAAATAATACCGTTAAATGCTCCATGGGGTTTTTCATTCAGTGTTGCAGTGTTGATGGATTTGGCTCAGGTAAGGTTTCTGCTAATAGAAATATAGTGATATATAGTCATCTTCTACACTTTTACTTTTGAATTTGTACATTAGAATGGATATATATGTGGCAGTCATTTCATTAACCTTTTACATTCATAAACGTGAGATACCTTTTACATTGGTACTATTTTGGAGATTAATGTAATTATATTCTACTGAGCGAGACACACATACACGTGTATGTAACATTTTCTTCACAAAGCAGCTGAGCATACGTATTTCATGTAATGTAAGAAACAGATTTGGACCATGCTGCTTTCTGAGAAAGAAAATTAGATGATAAGAGTACGGGACAGAGGGATATATATAATCACAATGGCAGAAAAGATAGTGGAGTTCACCCTATTCAGCCTCTTAATTATTATGCAAATGAGGAAACAAAGGCTGGGAAGAGGCACTAACTTCCTGAAGGTCACAGGCTAGTAAGTGACAGAGATTAAATGAAGACTTGGATATCCGTAGTCCCACCACCACATCTTTTGCATTGTATCTTATTCTTTCAATACCATTCTTCGAAGTGGCTTTAAATTATGTGTTTTTGGTAATATGCCATGTTAGCCTCATATAGTGCAGACACTGGTGAGTTTTGTAATAGGATATGCTTAACATCAACATGCAGCTTCAAGCCTATCATGTGAGCAATAATATTATTTCTGCATGATTCGCCACTTTCCATTATCCTTGTAGTAAAATTTCGCTGTAGTTTAGAACACTTTTGTCCTTACGTATAAGATGATTAAAATATCATCAGTTGAATATATACTTCTTTCTCTTTAATTTCCCAAATTAAGACCAGTTACCCAAAACAGAATAGACAATTAGTAGCAGAACCAAAACACAGTATTGTTCTTTCATTTCCCTTTTCAGGTAGACAACCAGCAGAAGAATTCTGTGGGCAGACTACAGGCCTCTGCAGCTGTACAAAAGGCAATTGACATGTCTGGGAAATTAGGCCATAATTCTGATTCTAAGTTAAAAAAAGTGCAACTCCCTATCGTTTGAATGAATGTAAACGTAATGCGTATTTGAAAATTATTCATTTTTAGTAGAAAAAATAACTTCCTTTTGGTATTTTCCATATGTCTAGCAAATACTAGGTATAGAAAATATACCTAATTTTTTGAATTTTTGAATCAAAGGAAATACTTTGATTTTAAATTGAAAATGTTAAACATAATATACTATGCTTTTTGAAGAACAACAGATTTTAAGCAGATCTAAAAAATTGGATTTAGAAAAACAAATATAACTATCTTTATTTATGTGTGTAACTGGAGTAAGGAGGCTAAATTTTTCAGATACCCAAAAATGATTTATAGCTTGCAATTACCCACTCCATTCAATATAAACAGGATCATAATTCATATTACATAATCTGTAGCACATTCTAAAATACATAATGCTACTCTGGAAAAAATTTTTTTCTTATATCATCTCTCACATCCCTCACCATGGCCTTAACATGAATTTTTTAAAAGAAGTAAGGGACTGATATTATTAAGTCCCAGAGTGGGACAACAAAGTACTTTAGAAAGGAGCTTGAAATTTTAAAACTTTTAAGAGTAGGAAATCTGAGATATTGTAATGGGAGGTATTCATTTTGTTTTGGAAGGGAAAGAGCTTTGTTCTGATGGCTACATTTGCTGTACTTCACAGCAGTTTGAAAATCAGCAAAAAATCAATAAGACTTTCACTGTGGCTCAGGAGCGTCAGAATGTAACGCCTTGAAGAAAAAGACCAAGTAAACCTGAAAGCTGACAAAATATAAAGTAGTGATCACAGGCAAAAACATGAGATGAAGCATCATGCCCTCAGAAGTAGCCTAAGCATTTTGGTAGAATTAACAAAAATGAACTTTAGATAAGAAACTCAAAGCATACTTTTGTTTTACAGTTTTAAAATTAGACAAAGTAACAAAATTCATTCACAGTCCAACTAAGGGAAAAATTAGGGATCTGAGCCCAGGAAAATGTTTTTCAAGGACAGTACTTTTCTAGGAAATGTCATACTCCTAACCTTCTATTTTATTAAAACTAAATATCTTAGAATATTTCCACAAGCAAAAATGACCCCTAGTGTTAGGAAATAGATCCCTTAGGGTAAATCATAAGCACCAATATCATTTATAAATATAGTAATGTTAGCACACACATTTTGTCACTGTTTGTAATACAATAAGCAGCTTTAGCGTACACAAAGACATAAAGCATATGATAGGCAATCTCTTTTCTCTTGCCCATTAAATAAAAGAATATCTAATCCTCAGATCCACTCAAGCAATTTTAGATTTTTGTCCTCAGAAAGGACTTTTTTATTTTTGCGAAACATATGCTTATAGCTATGAGTTATAGCAGATGTAACTACGAAGAGAAAAAAAGGCAGGATTTTTTAATAAAAATTCTGGTAGCATTGTCAAGGACAGTGTGTGGAACAATTTCAAGGCAGGCTTCTTGAGTAGTACGTTACCTCTGTATAAGAAATCCTAGCTTTTGTGGACTAAATGGGAAATTATTCAAGCTGTTTTAGCTGTGTAAATCATTAGACACATTATAACGAAACTCTACAATTTGTAAGTATTTAAAAGCACTTGTATCATTAAACCTACACACAAGAATTTTGCAGTAGCCATTTTACAGTTAATTTTTATATCTTAAAGAGAAAATTTTGGAAGGAAAATATAACATTAAGGAATAGAGTTCCCACAAGGTAACAAAGAAATGCAACACACGCATTGTAAAGGGGTCTCTTTACCAAGAAAAACAGTACCGAAGGAAGATTGCATTAAGATTCAATAATGAATAATTAAACACAATTATGACTTTTTTATGTGTGTGAAAAATAAATAAAACTAGTAACGTCAAATGTGGTTTAAGAAGCAAAGAGGAAAGAAAACAAAAATTAACAAAAAAACCTTGCGCTTGTGATAAATGAGTAAACGCAAAATGAAACATTAAAATACAAAATATAGGCATATGTTTAAGCTTTTTAGAAGCTATTGATTGTAAATGATAGCTACTTATGTTAAAATAAGAGATTTTGTTTGCACTGCATAATTTCTCAATGAATATTAGAAAAAATGTAAAAGTAAGAGCTAATAAAATACAGATTTATGATATAGGTTAAAAAATCAAAATTACTTACCTAACATCAAGCACAATGTAATTAAATTCAGAATAAGTTAATATTACATACATTTTGCGTGTTAAAAATACACAAAACCACTTTCAAATATATGTTTTGAATTTTGTTCTCAGTTTAATTTGAAAGATTTCCTGAAAGAGGAAAACACCATGTTTCTTCCTATGTGCTTATTGCTGCCAGAGTAATTATCTAAGAAGAATATGCCATGATGATAAACTTCATTACTCAATAACATCAGTAAACATTAAAATATTTAAAGAATATTGTACTGCATTATGGTTTATTCTATTTAAATCTCACAATTATAGCAGCCTTTTCTTCTTGTATTTCTCTAAGGGATGAATTGCTAGGATTTGATAATCTGCTGTTAATGCAAGCTGATATTACAGTCATATGACCTAATTAAACATTGGGATGCATATTTAAAATATATAATTACCAGAGTGTCATTTTAAAAAAATGTAATTACTAGTTTCTACTTTAATAGCAAAAATTGATGTTCGTGTCAACAGACTATGGAAAGTTTTCTGGAAAATATTTTTCTTCTCTGACTGTAAAGAAACAATGAAAAAAATCTCACTGTTGAAACCCATTATTAATATTTTTTCATGGAATAAATTCTCTTGTCTTTCATCATTGTGGAAATTTCTGCTTCCAGAAGTACATTATGTGTCATTTCTTATTGTCACTTTGAATCCACTCATCTTTCTTTATTCATTTTTCTTTATAGGAATATATTTTCATTTTCGGCATTTGAGAAATCCACGCACAACACTAACGTGAAAGGTAAGTGAAGCAACAAACTTCCATTTTTTTAAAACAAAATAGACTCGAAGATTTGGGGCTTTGGGGAGGAATTTTTCATTTCTGAATTGCACAAAATCATTCATAATTACCTCTTAGTGATTTGAATATCACAAATCCCTTCTGATTAGCCGTCTTAAAAAAAGAGAAGAATCTTCTTCAGAATTGTTTGGCCCTGTTGGAAGCCCTGTCTTAGAGAACAGCAGATTATGTAATTAAATTGAATCGTGTATTTTCCATAGAAACAAGGCATGATACTGGAACTGATGCAAGCTATATGCTCATTTCTATATTTAGACTGCTCAGCGTCAACACTGCGGCAGTCCACTGACTGATGAACCAAGAGTTAAGGCATCCTACGTAGCTTTCCAATTTAAAAAAGTATGGAAAAACAGAAATAAGTAGTGACTGTAGAAATGGCTGATGAAAAGCAACTCTTTTAAGGAACTGTTCTTCATTCCTTGAGTGAAAGAATGTCCCCACAAATAGTATTTTCCCATTTAGAGGGTTGATTTGCTTAGAGTGCAGTATAGAGAAGTCTGGGGAAACAGTTAAGTTTAGGATCCAAAAAGGAGATCCAGGCAAGAAAGCAAAAACCTAAGTTCACGGAGGAAACATGCCAAGTCCTTCCAGAAGTTTGTAAGTGAAAATAAGAATGTAATATTGAAGAAAAATGCTCCTTCATTTTTCAAATGCAAAGTGTAACTTAGAGATTACAAGGACAAACCAGGTGTTATTGTGACTACATCTAACACACAACAGCAGTAAGAAGGAAATAAATCGCTGAAGATTTGTCAGCATTTGATGAACTTTATCTTTAAGGACACTCTTTCATACCAGGCTTCACATCCACACCAAACTACAATTGTAGTCCTAAGTACCCAGCTGTGCTGTATTTTGAAATCCTCAGCACTATACTCTAAATTGAAAGTGTACCTTTTACATTTTACCTATACAATCAGGAAAATAATTCAGTGTCACAGAAGTCCCTCAAAATCCAGAGATCAAAAAACTCTGTCAGCGCCTGTACAAAATCTAGGATACGTTGTCATCAGGAATCAAGGAACATCAATCTCAGAATGATTGTTTTAAATCAACAGCAATGGATTATTTATAGACTTGGCGATTGAATGTAGATATTTAAATTTTGTAACTACTTGTCTAAGTATTGAACATTATATTTAACATAAAGAATAAACAGGACTGCATGAGGCATAGTAACATTAAAAACACTAAAGAAAAAGTTTGACATGGAAATCTATAATCCAGATAAATTTCACTATAATTACCCACCCTTTTTCTAGGACACCTGTAGGTGGAATACAGATATACTGTACAGAGAGAGACAGCAATTTCCTTTGGAGCCTATGCACATATAGATATATAGATTTATCTTTTGAATTTATAAAAATGTTTATTATGAATTCTTTACACAGACACATGACTTATGTGTATGAAAAATATTTAAAGATATGAAGATGATCTTATAATTCTATGTAGATTTTAGACTCAAGAAGACTAAAAATTTGAAGCATAGCTTGTTCCCAGTATTTCTTTCCTTTTGTGCCTTAGACATAATGTAATTTTAATAGCATACTGGAACAACAAAGGTGAAAGCTTCTGGATATTTAGCTTCTGTTATTAAAATACCAAATGATGAAAATATCATTTGATGTTATGTGATCTTATTTTTTAGAAGAGTAAGTGGGAGAGTTAATTTTCTTAGTACTATTTTTTCTTAAAAATAAAAACACCAAAATATTCTGTATTGGTGTTGTAAAGAAAATAAAACAAAGCAAAACCCACACCATCTCAGTTTTAAATGATGCTCTAACTGCTCTGCTAGGTCCACTGTGTGTGGTGCTCTGCCACCTGGTGGCTACTTGTGAAAGATCTAGACAGTGTGGACATTCTGTTTCTCTTTTTTCCTTTACCCTCTCCTTTACAGAACTGATGAATTAAACTTCAGTTTGACAATATGCCTGTTGCTATGGGAAACACTGGCTAGTTCATGTGACTTACTAATTTTCTCTTGCCTCATTTCAAAGCATCAGTACAAATTAGCTGCAAGATTAACAGGAGGTTCGCATAAGTTATTGGCAATTGTTAAGTAAAATGAAATTAGCTAGAATTTCTTCATCTCTGCATAGTGCTTTCCTCCAAAGAGTGAGGAACAGCTTATTTAAGTCTTACCATATTCTGCAAACTAGGTAGGGATAGATATTAAGTCATGAAAAGCTGAAGAACAAAGGAATTCATTAAATGAATATAATGAAACAGCATTTCCACATATTAATATGAACATTCCTGCTGCTACATCACAGAGGAATGAACTTAGTAGACAGTTTTATATGTCATTTCTGTCATCACATCTCATGGATGGTGTGAACTCCTGGATCCAACCTTTGAATGACGATCACTTAGTAACTGATTATTATGCACTGATGAATCATTCCATAATTATTTTTAAAAAAAACCACTTGCTGTCATGTCACACCTAGAGTTCAGAATGTAGTTTCTAAATGCCAGGGAATCAGATCTCTTTGACTGAGAATGTGATACACACACACACACACACACACACACACACGGGAATATTGTTCAGCCATAAAGAAGAAAGAAATCTTGCCATTTGTGACAATGTGGATGGACCTTGAGGACATTATACTAAGTGAAATAAGTCAGAGAAAGACAAATATTGTATGATCTCATTTATATGTGGAATCTAAAAACAAAAACAAAACCCCCCAAATCAAGCTCATAGATACAGAGAACAGATGGGTGGTTCCAGAGGTGGGAGATGGGGGAGGTGTGGAGGAAATGGGTGAAGGGGACCAGAAGATACAAACTCCCAGTTATAAAATAAATAAGTCATGGGGATGTAGTATACAGCATGGTGACTATGGTTAATAATACTGTAGTGCATATTTGAAAATTGCTAAGACAGAAAAATCTTAAAAGTTCTCATCACAAGAAAAAAAATTTTTGTAACTATGTATGGTGATGTACCATTGACTAGACTTATTGTGGTGATAATTCACAATGTATACAAATATAGAATTGTTATGTTGTACACTTGAAATTAATGTAATGTTATATGTCAATTATACCTCAATTAAAGGAAACAAACTATAAATTAAAATAATTGGAAAAATATTTGTTAGAAACCAACAATGTGCAAGGCATTGGAGATACAAAAATGATGGAAATATAGCTTTCTCCTTCAAGTAGTCAAAGTTCAATACGGTGGTGGTGGTGGATATGTATATGTGCAATTAATACATGTTAAACTGCCCTTTTTTATTGTTTTTAAGAAGGTGTGGTACATATATACAATGAAATATTACTTGGCCATAAAAAAGAATGAAATAATGCCATTTGCAGCAACATGGATGGACCTAGAGATTGTCATACTGAGTGAAGTAAGTCAGACAGAGAAAGACAAAATTCATATGATATCGCTTATATGTGGAATCTAAAAAAAGGGTACAAATGAACTTATCTACAAAACAGAAATAGAGTTACAGATGTAGAAAACAAACTTATGGTTACCAGGGGTTAAGGGACAGACGGGGAGGGACAAACTGGGAGATTGGGACTGACATATATACACTACTGTATATAAAATAGATAACTAATAAGGACCTACTGTGAAGTAAACAGCTGTTTACTGGCAAGTAAACAATTTGGTTATTGGGAAAGATTTCACTTTTCCTCTTTCATGGTGTATATTTGGAGGAAGGACTTTCTTTTCAGTTATCCTTGGAATAGCTAAAGAAAGTAGGTCATTTCTGTGATATTCAGATGTGTGAAAACTTTGTGTTAATAAAATTGACAGAAATCTGGAAAAAGGTATATAGAAAGGGAAAGAAATTCCTAGAGCATTTAAATAATCTGCCGCTGATTTGAAAGTGAACCAGAGAATGTCCAGAAATAATAAAATAATAAAGTATAGTCTGTGAAATGTAAAACTCAGTGGGCCAGCTAGACAATAGATTAGATACAGCTGAAGAGGGAATGCATTTACTGAAAGATAACCTGAATAAATGACACAGATTGAAGCACATAAAGCAAAGAGATAGGGGCAGGGGTTGGGGGTGGATGAAAAGGTTAAGAGAGATAGAGAATAGATAAACTAGGTCCAATATATGACTAATAGCAATTTCAGAAGGAGAGAATAAAGATGAGGAGAATTGTGAACTATAGACTCTAGTTAATAATACTGTTTAAATATTGGCTCCTCAATTGTAACAAAAGCACCACACTAATTTAAGTGGGAAACTGTGCCAGGGAAGGGGGAAGTGGAGAGATGTATGAGAACTTTCTGTACTTTTTTCTCAATTTTTCTGTTAACCTAAAACTGCTCTAAAAAATAAAATCAATTTAAATAAATAAATAGTAACATATGCAATGGGTTAAAATTAAAGTTTAAATTGAACCATTTTAGAGAAAAAAGAAAAAGGGCTGAGAAATAAATGACTAGCAAAAAACAAATGCATTAAAAATCCAGGACATTGAACATAAGCATTTATGGGTATTAAAATTATTTTGCAGTAAAAGAAGTCTGCATGTTGAGAGCAGTATGGTAGAGCAGGAAAAGGAGAGGCTTGAGGGTCAAAGCTCATTTTTAAAGGCCAAAAGTCCTAACCAAAAACTTTTCCTTATTATAAAACTTCTAAGGTAGGGCTAGATTTACTCCCCCATCAGCAACAACCAAATTAAAGCCTGTTCAAGGACCACCCACAGAAGGGTGACAGCAGCCATTTTTCAAGATTCTTCAACACTTAGCCCAGGAACATACACAACTCCTGTCAAAAATGGGGGAAGCCCTTGTTTTCAAAACATGGTGCTCATCACTGTTTTTGCTCTCATTTGAAATAAGGTGGCTCTGAAGGAGGCTTTATTTCTTTGGGGTTAAGTTCAGCCCTCGAGACCTTTGCCTTAGCTTCCAGAACATCAGTGATGAGTGCTCAGGCCTTGCA